TGATACTTGTGGTAGTTGTCTTGCAATATTCCCGAGGGTTTTTGTCATTAGGGTGCTATATTGCTGCATATCACCAATGCTAATAATCATGAATTCGATAATCATGTAAGCGGGATGAGTCCAATTGGCCTGTTCATGCGGTGCATATTGATTGATGTGATCATAGATCAGAAATAATCACTATACATATATACTAGTGTATATAAATGGTGTGAATGATCCACCAAGGTATCAAGTACCTGTTTGGTGGTTGCACCACAGGATTGAGTCGAACTGTTCATGTCAAAAAGCTAACACATGGACAGTCTCCTTGGTTCTCCTGTGAAAACCAATGTAAAATTACCCTTACCAATAGAGGTTTAATTTATATAATCTAATAAAAGTTAAGTTTATGATTTAGAAATAATCGAGGAATATGTAGTATACAATTATTGAACAAATAATTCTTGGATTTCTAGTAAAAAGTCGTAATCAGTAGAGTTCAATCTGTGTGCAATGTGAGACAGTTACCCATTGAAGACAATGGATGATAGTAATTAATTATGTTGAATCATTTGAAGTTAGTGGATGCATACTGCTGATGAGTCCCTTACCAGGACGAAACAGTCATCCACTGCTCCCAGGTTTTCAATGGTGATGGCTTAACATTGATCAGTTCTGTTGTGATTTCAATGAAATTTGATATTTCATCTATTACAAACTTGTTTTTTCTTCAAAAATGAATGCAAACAATATTTCACTAAATTATTAATTGTTTAAAGTTATAATTTAATTAAACTTTTCTGACAATATTATCGATGATGCATAAATGATCTTGGCATCAAAAAACTGTTACTTATCATATTGAAATTTAAACAGTTTCTAATAGTTTTCAATTACAAGAGATTAAATCTAGAATGATTTGTGTGTAAGTTATGCATTGAAATCATGAATCGATCAATGTTAGACTACTGCTACACACCTGGAACCACTGGATGGCCGTTTCGTCCTGGTATGGTACTCATCAACAGTGCGCATCCACTACTCTTGCCACTCGCATGATTCGAACCCAGGACCTTCGGTATTGTGTGCATAAAACTGCCCTTGACAATAGAGGATTAATTCGTAAAAATTATGAACTAATTAAAAGATGATTATAAATGAATACACTAGTTATTTTTGTAATGAAAAAAAAATTACTGAGCTTGTTGTTTTTTTTCTCTGTCTAACTTGTAAGAATTAACTTCAAACGACTAATATAGTTAGTTGCCTTTCTTTTTTTGTAATTGTTATTATGATAAATCAATACTGATATAATCGCCTTTATTATAAAAACAACAAAGACACCCATAACTCATTATCCCTAAGCGTTTTGTTACATTGTTCATAATGAGAAAAAATAGAGAAAGAAAGCAACTAAATAACGAAAGGATTCTTTTGATCATTTCCGCTGTAATTGATCAAGACTTTATGAAAGGAGAAACTACTTTTTTTTACCGAAAAAAATTGGAAAGATTTATCTATTTGTTTGTGTATAATGAAGCATTGTAAAGATTGTACGAGTTGTTTTTGCCCAAAATCTTATATATTACGCGGTTGTGAAGATTGTTAAGTTACACATTTTTGAAACCGTGATTAACCGATCAATGTTAGACCTCCGACATTAGAAACCTGGAAGCACTGAAAGACGGTCGTTTCGTGGATGTGCACTGTTGATGAGTCCCATACCAGGACGAAATGGTTGTCTTTCAGTGTTTCCAGGTTTCTAATGTTGATAGCCTAATATTGATCGATTCATAGTTTCAAAAATGTGCAGATCTGATATATTGTGAATTTCATTTTTAATTATTAGTGTAAGCTTTCACAACTGTATTATATATCATGAGTCGCCTAATCTCTCTAATTCTAGCCTTCTGAATTCCTAATCATCTCTATCTTTCTTCTTATAAATTTATCTTACTGAATTATACTTCTCGAATCATATCTTTACTCCCTAATCTTCTCCATTACTGCTAATAATTCTACTATCGCTATCACTCTTGTATTTGAACTGAAAGTTGCGTCTCTGTGTGCTGATGTGCTATGGCAACCTGAACTGATGTACTTATGTAGGAAGTTCTGTGTTGTATCTGTCTGTCTGTCTGTCCTAATCAAAGATTGTCAGGCCTTGTGATGAGTTCTTGATATTCAGATTAAGAAATTATCATTCAGTGATGTTCAGTACTAGGAATGAATATCTTTGAGTTGAATCTTTGATAAGGTTATAGATATTTGGTATTCTTTCAATTAGAGTTATGGAGATCAGTGTTTTCACACATTGAAATGATCAATCGATCGTTTTAAGACCACCGTTAGAGGTTAGGCATTCGCGCGCAAGACCAAAGGTTATAGCTTCGGGTTCCTGCGAGTTGCAAGAGTCGCAGATGTGCACTATCGAAGAGTCTCATAGTACGATGAAACGGCTGTGTTTCAGTGCTTCCAGGTTTCTAATGTTGGTGGTCTAACCAATGACTGATTGATGATTTCAATGTATGGAAAAAGATGTTTAGTACTTTTAAACATCAAGTTGATTCATTTAGTTTCAGTTATTAAATAAAAAAAAATATTTTAACATCATTTCATTATATTTCGGGCAAAAAAGTCACAATGTAATCACTAGATGTAACTTAAAACTCCAGTAGCCTGACGTAACCAACGGTGCATGAACTTGTCGATGTTCGTCAATTACCATGTGACTGCATTGCTCCACTGCTTGTTGAATTTGACCTTTAGGTTAAAGGTTACTGGATAAATGAAAATTACACTGTTCAACTAAAAATGCATTTTAATTTTCTTGTTCAACTACTGACTATATTTACTACTGAAAGCTTTTTTATTAAATCTATTCATATTATTCTCAATGAAATTGAAAAAAAAAAAAGAAATTGGTGCATTTTAAATGATTAACAAATTATTATTCATTAATTACTTATTGATAAATAAATAAATAATTAATGTTACAAATAATTTTCATTAGTTAATTGAATTGGTCATTTTACTTTTGTCATAGAAACTTATGAAATAGTAAAATGAGCATAAAATACCTTTTTTTCCTTCGTGTGTGTGTGTGCGTGTATTTTTCCTCTATTTAAATCAATAATATGATAGTTTAATGTGAATTATTAAGCTAAATAATTACTGATTTACACTAAATACATGGTTTTATATGATTCGGATTTGAGTAATAGTTTTGTTATGGACTAATTTTATCACTTGGTTGTTTGAATTGAATTTAAACAAAGATTTATGCGTTCATAATAATAATAGTTATTATCAATATCATTTTTATCCATTGGAATGATAAATGAATCATTGTTAGACCATCATAAGAAACATGGAAATGCTAGACGACCGTTTCGTCGTAGTATGGGATTCATCAGCATTGAATTGAACCCGGGACTTTCAGTTTTACACGGGAATGCCTAACTTATGTACTACTTAGCCAACATCCAACGGTGTTAATGTCTAACTCTGATCAATCTAAGGATTTTGTGCAACTTTACCCAATTGTCTTTGGTAGTTTTTGCTTCACACTCGACAGGATTGAACTCCATTGGTTACGCAGTTTTAGTTAATATTTGTTTAACTCGTTAATATTTAAAATTATGAGTACAGTGATTAGTTTAATTAGTTTTACTCATAACATGTGAACAGATATGAGGAATCATTATTTAATAACAACTCAAATACTCTAAATTCATGAATAAATCGATGTAATAAAAAGCTTAAATGGTCAATGTTTTAATCACTAATCTTCATAAATTGGCTTATTTACATGATTACAATATTAAAAAATACAGGTTAAAAAACATTTGTTTGAAGATTTTGACTTGTATTCCACTTAGGTAATAGGGATAGTATAACTTCAGCATTTAGCCAGAAGGTGCCTTGTGCCTGGGGGGTTTGTGTGAAGAGCAGCGTGTGAGATTATTTGGAAGAGTAAGAAACAAGAGAAGAAGGTGGACCAACAACTCAGTAATCGCATAGAATAATCCACTTACATTCAATAAAAAAATCTACAGAAAGCAACCAGAAATAAAGCCAGCATTATGAGATCAAGACAAACTGATAATCGGAACCTGAAAGTTGTTGGAGAGTCTGGTTTTCAAATGCATTACAATAGCAGTTAACATACCATTTAAAGTACATTACATCAATCTAAAATAGTGAGCCAATCAGAAGTGGCCAAATGAGAAGATCATTTTGACAATAATCATTGGTCAGGAAATAGCTCCGTTTTCTAAGGTGATGGAATATACTAACATATATAGACAAGTATTTGTACATGTGATTCAGATGGCCAAATAGACGCTCTCTTCTAGTCTTTCCTTCTCACTCAAGTAACCAGTTTGTAGGCAGAGTTAACATGTATTACGATCAAAACTGAACATGGCTTTGCTTAGTGGATTTAAATTATCCACCATTTTAACCAAACATCATTTTAGTTCATTTAAACAAAATAAATTGTACATTGAAACATTAAAAAAAAACATTATTTTTTTTTGAAATCCAAAATTAAAATGATTTTTATTCTGTTTTTTTTTTGTGATTTCCTATTCTTGTTTTAAATTTTTATTTCATTATGTGCGTGTGTGTGTGTGTTGCCTCCTATACATACATGATTGTTGTTAAATTCACAATGTTATCAATCGTTTGTTTTATTTTACTAAAAGGAACTAAAATATTTTATTTTTTTTTTGAAATTCTTTTTTCTCTTGTATCCTACTTCCTGTTCTGATATTGTTATTATGTTTTTTTTTCTGTCTAACATATTATTTACTTGTTAGTTGAATAAAATAAAAAGTTTTTTTTTCGGGAAAACATTAGAAAAAAAAAGAATTAACAACGAAACAACACAGAATCTAAATTTTATTCAGATACATTGAATTTCGAATCCATACATAGTTATTTCACTCAGACGTAGTGAATGACATATTAAATTTAGTGTAAACTTTTCGAGATAAAATTTCTGCATTACTACAATGTATAGTACGTACTTACTTAGATTATTTTTTCTGGTTAGCGTTTTTTTGGCAAGTTAGATTTCGACGGAATGGGGTCGCCAACCCCATGTCCAACCCTCCTCCTTTACCCGGGCTTAGGACCGGCAGTAGCCTCGAAGGTTCTACTGGCGGAGTTACGATGTATAGTGATTATCATTTTTTAAAGAAAATGAATCTCACTGTGAAATTTCTAGCATTCTACTTTTGATTGTAAGCTTTCAATGTACGGAAAACACTAATCTCCATAACTCTAATTGAAAATATCGTAAAATATGCTCACTAGTGACTATTGAGAAGACGTGACCAATGGAGTTCAACCCTGTTGAGTGTAGGCAGTAATTACCGAATACACATGGGTGAGGAAGAGCAAAATTCCTAGATTGATCAGAATTAGACATTAACACCGCTGGATGCCAACCGACTCAGTGATCCAGAGGTTATGCATTCGTGCGCAAGTTCGAAGGTCCTGGGTTGGAATCCTGCGAGGCGCAGGAGTCGTGGATGCTCATTGCTGATGAGTAGTCCTGTACTAGGACTTGATGGCCATCTTTCAGCGCTTCAAGGTTTTATTCAAAACGATGTTAAAATTTTAATTATATTTTATTGGGTATTGATCATGACGAGTCGCATACTTCAGATGAAACAATCGTTCTGTGTTTCAAAATTTCTAATGGTAGTATAAAAATAATTGATTTTATGATTTCAATCGCATGTGAACGTATTGTTAGTTAATGTCTGTAATGGCAATGCCCATTGTGAAGTTGCTCACAGTTTGTTGGGTTAAACTTTTTAGACAACGTCTCGGTGATTGGCCCCCTTAAGAAAATCACCTGTTTCGATTTGAATTTCTGGTCAATATTGTAGCCCACTCACAAATTTAATCATTTGTGTGTCGATAAATATTTAGGTCGCCTCATGGTGAAAGTCGAGATTCTTTGAAAATCTAGAGACTGATATCCAATTCTGACAATCAACACAACAATTTTTATGAATACTATTTCTCATTAGAGCTACGGTGATCATTGTTTTTACACATTGAAATTATCAATCAATCATTGTTAGACCAACATTAGATACCTGGAAGCACTGGACGGCCGTTTCATCCTGGTACGGGACTTATCAGGAGTGCGTAACCAGGACTCCTGTACCTCGCGAGATTCGAACCCGTGACCTTCTGTCTTGTACATGAACGCCTAACCTCTGGACCGCCGAGCTGGAATCCAAAGGTGTTAATGTCTAACTATGATCAATCTAGAGATTTTGCGCGACCTCACCCATTTGTGTTTGGTAGTACCTGCCTATACCTGACAAGGTTGAACTCTACTGGTCACGTGGATGCGCACTGCTGACGAGTCCCATACTAGGACGAAACGGCTGTCTTTCAGTGCTTCCAGGTTTCCGATGGAAGTCTAACTTCGATTGGTTGATGATTTCAGTGTGTAATATAAATAGATAGAATGTTCGAATTATCTACAATTTTGTTGGTGTGGCCACCTCTAGTTCTCTTCTAATTTACATCTGCTTCAGCTTACATCATTCTTCTTGGTTGAAGTGGTGGTGAAGCTGAAGTAATATACAGTAAAGGTCGATTATAACCATATACCCATAGTCTTTAAATTAAACGTGAAAAATTTAATTTGTGTTTTATTATTCCGGCTCTCTTTCTGATTCTCTCCTTCTTGTTTTCTGTTTCTTAATAATCATTACAGATTCAGCATCAGCATCATCAGCATCATCCGCATCATCATCATCGTCATCGTCATCATCATCAGCCGATACACGTCAACCACATAGTCCAATCCGGTTGGGTTATTTAATACGTGTTGGTGAAAGTTTAAATTTAACTTGTCCTGGTGATGCTGTATTTTATCAATGGAATCTTATAGATCAACCATTACAAATATTATCAGAAGAACAATTTTATGTTATTAAATCAGCTACATTGAAAGATTCCAATCGTTATATATGTCATGCTGTAGATGGTTATGGCCGAAGTTCCGTTGAAATGTCTGTTCGTGTTCTAGGTAATCACTTGTCGATTTTATTTTTGGTTTTTAAATCTTTTTTTTAAAAAAATTTCTTTATACTATTCTACTTTTGTACAGGAGGTTTTGTTGACCTATTGGTTGAACTTGTGAAGTTAATCAAGTCAAGAGTGGAGTAATTGTTACGCGTGCCAATGATGGTAGATAATCATTGTGGTTTATCATGAGCTGACTGAAGAAGTATAATGTATTTAATTTCCTATTCGGTGACTGACTGACTGCCGACAGGTCTAAAAGTTTTGGTACTCATTGTTCTGCAGATTTGTGGTTCCGCATTGATCGACAATTCAAAGTAATTGGCATGATAGGGTTGTGGAGATTGTTGAGTTACTGTTTGAAATCATGAATCCACCATTCTAAAACCTGGAAGTACTGGATGGTCTTTTCGTTCTGGTATGGGACTCATCGGCAGTGCACATCCGCGACTCCCGCAGCATTTGAAGGCAAGACCTTCGATTTTGCGCGTGAATGCCTAACCTCTGAACCAATCAGCCAGCGGCATCTAACAGTGCTTCCAGGTTTCTAATGGCGGTCTAACATTGGTGGATTCGTGATTTTAGAAAATAACTCAACAATCTCCACATCATGCCCTTACTAGTGACTAGCTCCGTAAGGAAGTTTCTCCAAGTTCTAGTGAGAAGTCATGACCAGTGGAGTTCAACCCTGTTCAGGTGTGAAACAGTATTCATCAAAGACAGCGGATGAGATTGCACAAGACCAGGGATTTACTAAAACTGAAGTCAGTAAACTGGCAAAAATGATCTCTTAAGATAATAATGATGATATCAAGTCTCTTTTTATCATTTCGACTCAATCTATAATCCGATAAATTTAGTTAAATTCCTACTTGTACTTTGTAATGTAAAAAAAATCTCGCTCAATTTTTCTTACATTAAAAATCAATTGTGTACTCTAGTTAGCATTATTTACCTCTTGATTTGTTTAGTTGAATAAGAATTTTTCAATGCAGTTTAGTGTACTTTGATTTGTAATTTGTTAAAGGTAGTAAATACCAACCACAATATTAACAAAAAATACAATAATCATAGAATCAACATTTACTTAATTACTTACTTACTTACCTACTTACGCTTGCTATCCCTAAATACAACAGCATAGGCCGGTGACCAGCATTCTCCAACCTACTCTGTCCTCAGTATCACTTCCCAGTTCTATCCAGTTGTTTTTTTCATTCTTCTCATGTATGTCTCCGTTACTCAGCGTAATATGTGCTCCTCGGCCTTCCTCTTTTCCTTCGACCTTGAGGGTTCCATTTGAGGGTTTGTCATGTGACGCAGTTGGATGCGTTCCTCAGTGCTTCTTTCTGTTTTCCTCTTCCACTGGAATCTGGCTAACGGATCTGGAGTATTTTGCATAGACAACTAACTGTCAATAAATACTTGTATCTTCTGGATGGATGATGTCTTTGGTAGTTTTTCAAGTTTCCGCCCAATTAGTCAATAATTGATTGCTGTCAATATTATAGGGAGGCAACAAATAGAAATAGAATTATTTCTTATCCCTCTAATACCAGGCATCACTTATTGAGTTGTATGAATTTGCGATTAGGATTGATTGATTGATTGATAGTTCTCAAGTGAAAGTATAATTACATATGAATCCAAGTTATGAATATCAAATTAAGATTAAACTATTATTTCCTTTTTATATTTATTAGTTTCAATAGCTGAACAAATTATCCAATAAAAGACTATTCAAATTATGTTGTAGTACAGATTTGAATATGAAATTTAAATAAAACTATTTCTACCTCTTCAGTTGACAAACTGCTGATGATTTCAATTCAAATCCTATAGTAGTAGAGGTAGTAGAAGAGTCAGCAGTAATTAGAGGGATTAGGGTTCGAAGATATTATTCAAGAAGTATAATTCAGTGAGACAACGTAAGAAAGAGAAAGATAGAGGTGTTGACGAATCCAGAAGATTAGGATTTCAGAAAACACAACGAGTGGATGCACCTGAGCCATTGCAAACGATTTTGAGCCACATCGTTCAACGTCTCTAACTATCAATTACTTTCATCTCGCGGACCCCAACCAGGTAGCCTACATCTACCAACTCAGTCCACTTGTCAGTGAATTCATGGATTTCAGTGGAATAAGTTTAGTAAAGAGAGAGATAAAGGTGATGAAGAAACCAGAGGAAGTAGGATTTGAGAGAAGCCAAAGAATCTATGCACCTGCACCATTTCAAACGGTTTTGAACCATGTTATATATAGTCTGTGAATCAGTGTAATGTAATGTTACACACTATTGGTTATAGTCTATGTCATATTTTATGTATAGTTAACAGGAAGAGAATGAAGGAAGTAATTTTACGATCAAGATACTTCATTTGAAGTTGAGATTTATCGATTATGAACTTACTTCATTGACCGAATTACTTTCAGTAGCTAACTTGATAACATGATGGCGTTTGTAGTGAATGGTACTGGGTTCAAGTTTCCAAGTCAACGATAACTTAGAAATGAGGCTGGTACATCCAGCCACAGACGACTCTCACATGGGATGAAATGTGTATCCTGGATTCCACTGTCAGTCACGCTCTTTCTCTTCATATATAAACTTGTGTCGGAATGGTAATATCGAGGTGAGCCGCACAAGATGCCCATATGCCATACTTACTTACTTACTTACTTACGTACGCCTGTAACCCCTAATGGAGCATAGGTAGCCGATCATTTCTAATAAGCGTGTTTTGTTTAACGAGTTGTCTTTCTAAATGATAGGATAGCTAACCCTCTTCCCTACCCTTCTCTCTGGGCTTGGGACTGTCAGTAACCCTAGAAAAGGTCCCAGGAGGAGATGGAAATGTTTTTTTTCGGTTAATTTCATCAAGTGTATGTAACATAATGTTAAATAGTAACACATTTCACACAGACATTGTTTATTTGATCAATATAACTTTTCCAATATAACCTATATAATGAATGATACGTTTTTTCTCTCTTTCCATTAGATTTCTCTTCAATAACTGCACAACATGAATGTGCTGTAGTCAGTAAAACAGGCAGTGTAAATATAAACGGTGAGTAGTTGTAATATTCAATGTGTTCAATAGAATATTTATCAGAATTTTCTCTTTAATCAACGTTCAATAATAAAATGCAATGTTACTTTCATGCAAGATTTCCTGTTGAATAGGTCTGGCTGTATATTTTTATTGACTTAATTCAATGTAAATTTACATGACTCATGCGTAGTCACTCACTGTTTATCTTGTGATATTCAATAATGTTAGTAATTGTATTCAATCAGCAGATCAGTTACACAACTGATTGCTTAATGAATGCGATCTTTGAGCCTTGATCAAATTCTATCAATTAGTTTGTAATGTAATATCACTAATTTGAGTGAATAGGAAATCGTCTATATATTATGTTTAAATGTTTTTCATAGTTTGAAGTAGTCGACAAGAAACTTTATGTATAAACTTGAATGTTTTGCTGGTTATCACTTGTTATATTACAGTGTTGAGATGGTGCGGAAAACTTGTAGCTCAGGTGGATAATTGTGGTGGTGGTGGTGTTTCGTTCTCTGAGCTGGTTGTTTTGGTTGTGGAGCTTTCATTGTTCTTCTGTTGAACACCATCATCAGCACAAACTTCAGATAGAAGTGAAGCATTCGAATTTCTCCACGTTTGACCTAGAACAAGCTACAGGTCAAACGTGGAGAAATTCGAATGCTTCACTTCTATCTGAAGTATATTACAGTGTGCCTGTAGTATTGAGAGAAGTAGTGCTCCTCATAAGATTTGATTTCTTGTTATCTTAAGATTGTAGGTATATCATCTTGTTGAGAACAAATATGAACTAGCACGAAGTTCATTTCAATAAACTGCATCCTACCGAGTATCTCCAACCTCTGAACAAGACTTCACATTATGCAATGAACTAAACGTTAAAATGAATTCTATCTAAATGTTGGCTCATATGACAATTATAATCTTACACATCATGCACGTGTATACATATGTTCATCTTTACTTTATTTGTGTTGTAATGGCTCAGGTGGATCCATTGTTTGTGTTCTCTCAAATTCTAATCTTCTGAATTCCAACTCACCTCTATCTTTCTTTGTTTCAAATTCATTTCACTGAATTATACTTGTTGAATAATTTCTTCAAAAGTTTATCATGTTGATTACCTCTATTACTTTGCCTGCATCTGACACTATGGGATTTAAATTAAATAGCTGCATCTCTTTGTGCTAATTTGATGATAGATCAGCTTGAACTGATGTGCATTTTAGTTGTATTATTAGTCAGTTGAAGAATTCTGGTCCAATCGACAACTTTCCACAGTGGGTCATAGGCATAATTAAGTAGTACATCCGTTCAATTTGTCTATGTACTCACTAGTGACTAGCTTCGTGAGGAAATTCTCGAAGTTCTAGTGAGAAGATGAGAAAAAGGGGAGTTCAAGCCTGTAAAGTGTAGACCGTAGCTACCGAAGAGAAATGCGTTAGGTCACATAAAATCGCTAGATTGATCAAAGTTAGACATTAACACCATTGGATGCCGACCGCCTTAGTAGTCCAGAGGTTAAGAGTCTGTGTGTAAAACCGAAGGTCGATCTCCACAAACGAGAATCCTGGATGTGCACTGCTGATGAGATTCATACCAGAACGAAACGGCCCTCCAGTGCTTCGAAATATCTAACGATTCATTCATGATTTCAATATATATACATATAGTTTAGTTTATTTACGACCGATTAGCTTACTAACCAACTAACTGATTAAATTCATTTCAGTGTGAAACTTTTCGTTTTTTTAAAAAAAAAAACTAAACTAAAATAAACTTATTCTCTAATGAAATTTACAGGCACACTGATTAGATTATTATATACAAAGTCTGTTAAATGAATATGATACTTTTTGATAGGCGAATAAAACTCTATTCATGCTTTTCAAATGGATTTTATTTTATTTTATTTTTTGTTTGTTTAAATCAAAGAACAGTGTAATGTATTTTCCATGTGAATTTTTTCCGTCAATTTTGATTTAAAATCTGTTCAACTAATCATTTGGAATAAATTTTTATCTCTTGTAAACAATAATATATGTATATACTGTGAAATAATACTCGTGTCTGTGTGTGTGTGTGTGTGTGATTGAGTGAGTGAGTGTAATCAACCATAACCTCTTTCTTCTTAAATTCTAACTAGCCAACCAACTAGCCACATATTCTCTCTCGCTCTCTCTCTCTCTCTCACTCTCACTCTCACTCTCTCTGTACCGCCTCTTAGTAGGCTTACCATGCCTCATTATCTTCCTATTCGCCATTTGGCATAATTGCAATTCACTAAACAATCGTCGTGGTTGATTTGGCACTGATGATGCTCTTAGTTTATTTCTTATTTCTTATTTCTCATAATATAACATTTTCATATTTTGTTTAAATTAGATTTTAGTTGTGTATTATTCATCAAAAAAAATAGCGTAAACACTATGTAAGCAAGTGGAATGATTTTTCCCCATTGGGAAATAAATAAACTTTATCATTCATTTTACTGATATTTTGTTTTGTTTTATATGAATGAATACAGTGTTGTTTACTACATTGGAAACATTCATATTATTAGTAACTAGCTTGGTGAGGAATCTTCTCCGAGTTCTAGTGGGAAGTCGTGACCAGTGAAGTTCAAACCTGTTCGGATGTATACAGGGTATGAGGTTGAGCAACTCCGTGAATTTGATCAAGTTAGACATTAACACCGTTAGATATCGGCTCAGTGGTCTAACGGTTAGGGCGTTCGCGCACAATACCGAAGGTCCTGGGTTCGAATCCTGTATGGTGCAGTAGTCGTGGATGCGCACTGCTGATGAGTCCCACACCAGGACGAAACGGCCGTCCAGTGCTTCCAGGTTTCTAGTGGTGGTCTAACATTGGTCGATTCATGGTTACAAATAAATCATAACAACCTTCACATCAACCCCGCAATTCATATTATTAGTCTAATTCAATATTCAATGTGAATTCAGCTTGTCGAATTCTGTTTATCAAAAAAATGATCAGAGTTAAGGTTATTCGGGGGGGGGGATATAGTCTTTTTAAGGGATCAGTTATTGATTCATTGATTCACGTTACTGAAAGTCGAGTAATAAATAGTTCTTTGTTGTTGTTCTGAATTCGACGACGTTCTGTAGTTGTTGTTTTATTGTGATTGTTACACTCGTCACTAATTATGCTTAAAACTATTACGAATTCACCTTAGTCGATAAACGAGAATGAGATAGTGAAGAGGCAGTGTCTAGGCAGGCTACTCTGATCCGTTGACCCAAAGGAAACTAACGAAGAATTCTTGATATAGCGTAGAAAGTGTATTCTACAAACACCCGGCCAGCACATAATGCATTCAAGCATTTATAAGACATAGAGACGTCCTTGCGAGAGTCATAAGGATAGCACACTAAAATAACTCAGTAAACAATCATAGCCAAGGCTTTTCCTGGTGAGAAATGTGATCTCAAGGTCAACTGATCAGCCCATGAATAAAAAAATCCAAAATAAAGACATTTATCAAGCGAGTTCTGGGGATCTACCATCCCCAACAGTGATCCAATCTATAGTGTTTCGCTTTTTGTTGTAAAGGATTTTTTTTATTTCAAATAGGATTGTTTGAATCCTGTTTTAAATCTGGTTTAAATATTGTACATGATGATAAATTATTGTTATCTTTAAATAAAATGCATCATAGTTTCATGTTAGTTGTTTACTACTGTACTTGTACATGTGTACCAATGAGGTATGATAATAACAGGAAGGAACTGATCTTTTTGGATGGTAGGAATTCGACTAATTACAGATTGATAATAGTAACGATATACATGCGTCAACAGAAGTGAGGTCATTTGACAAAGGAGTTCAAGAGAAAAACAAAGGATGTGGTGAGACAATACTTCAATGAAGTTGGAACATAGAGAGAATGAATCGTCTGATAAGCGTATGATAGCCTGAGATAAGTTTGAAATGAAAAACTGAAAAGATCAGTTTTAGCATACAAATTTTTTCATTCATTCAATCAGTCAATCATTCGCTTCTCTACACATAAACAAATCTTGCCTACTTATTACATAACTGGTCAATTATTGATTGTAGATAATTACTATCTCATTTCTTGAAACTCCCTATTTTTTTCTAATTTCATACGCTCTAAAACTTATGTAAGCCTATCATTATCACGCGATTCATCTTATCTATGTCGGGACTTCATTCGTCTCATTATCTTTGCTTTGTGAATTCCGCTGTCATATGACTTCATTTATGTGTACGCATGTAAATTATTATTATTATTATTAATCTGTAATTACTCGAATTCCTTCCATCCGCAATGTCAATTCCTTTATATTATTACGTAATTGTTACACGCTGTATTATACATGTACGGTTGTAAGTAGCTATTGAGTAATCACTAGCTGCATATTATTCTGCTTTATTTATTATTCTGTCTTGATTTGATATTCATAAAAAAGTAAACCAAATGTGCTCACTAGTCATTGGTTTCATGAGGAAATTCTCGGGATTCTAGTGAGAAGACGTGACCAGTGGACTAGTTCAACCCTGTTGAATGTAGGCAGTAACTACCGAAGACAAATGGGTGAGGTTGCCCAAAATCTCTAGATCCATCAGAGTTAAACATCGGTCTAGTGGTCCGATGGTTAGGCGTTCGTGCATAATACCGAAGGTCCCGGGTTCGAATCCTGCGAGATGCAGGAGTCGTAGGTGCGCACTGCTGATGGGGCCCATACCAGGACGAAACGGCCGTCTTTCAGTGCTTCCAGGTTTCTAATGAGGGTGGTCTAACAATGATTGATTGATAACTTCAATGTGTGTAAAAAGATGTTTAGTACTTTTAAACATCAGATTCATCTCCATAACTCTAATTGAAACCAAATACATAAAATTTTTAAACAATCACCTCTCTGTTGATTGTTTTCTGTCAATTATGTTAATGTTAAAAATATATAGATTTGCCCAAAAGTTTTATGTTCCCATCTTATTAGAGGTCAAAAATTGTGTCACAT